TTGGCCACAAAATCGCGTCTACATCGTCGCTTGACACCAAAAAAACTCAATGATTAGAAGACAGTCAACGTTCTCCCACTACCAAAATGGCCGCTTATTGTCCTTCTCAACGTTTGGTCGGAAAAAGTCCTTGATAATGCTGGCCAGACTCTATGCGAGACTGGAAACAACATATTTTCTTGGTCCGGATAAAAGGTCCGCCATTTTCCCTGCTAACAATAGCTTCATGACGTCATGACTGTCCTAATTTATCGGGATATTCCGGACTGTATATGGTAATCATCTACTACACATGTTGTTTTTGAATATGCCAAGTTACAGTCAACGTTGCCATACATGAAGCTTTCCACTACTGATGGTACTACCACTGGATAGGTTGAAATACCAATACCCCAAGTTGTACATGTTTCCTTTTGTTTTGCCTGCGTCATTAAAGCTCATTTGAGATGTCTATTTGATGATTCTTTAACTAATTTCAAAGCAACCTGCGGGCAAACAAACTGAAACCAATCAACGCAGGATGAAGGGTAAGAAATACTTTAAAATTCTAAAGCAATCCCTCTCGAGTTGGACCATGTACCCAGTTATCCCCGCTGCGGATAATGTTAACACGCGCGTTGCCTGGATGTTTTCGTGGAGGATTAAAATGCTTGCAAGCCGCAAGGCCGCTTAGATTGTCGACGCGAGCAAAATCCGCGGCATAGGATTACCTGGGAATGATCTAAATATAACTTGAGAGGAATTGTCTTGGAAATGAGGCCTTTTAAGTGAGACTAATTCCTTTACCCTTCATCTTGTCTTGGTGATAAACATTGGCAAAAACAACATTTAGGAGACTTAGTTGAAGGAGGCAAGAGTAGGATCTTAGCTGGACTGACAAGATGTGGTTTGCAAGTTTTTGCCAGTGGAGTTCTTAGACAAAACACCAATTAAATCATGCTAAGATCTCTGAAATTAATTTCTAGCACAGTAAGTTGATGTCAAAGTTATGAAATGTCGAACAACAAACCTGAACACTGTACTACTCTGTTAAGTTGAAAAGGAAAGATGACATCATCTCCATTCTTGCAATATTCACAAATAAATCCTTTCGCAAGACACAGCTATATGCAGTAAAATGAAGAAGGTAAAATAATATAAACGTTACTTATTTATTCATTTATTTATTTGCCATACTTAAACCACTGGAAACGCCTCCTCGTATTCATATTTTATGCACATTTAAGTTATTCTGGACTCTCTCCCGCATGGGATCAACCCCTTCATAGAGTGGGGAAGGGTTATGTATTCACGCTTCGATTTATGCCCTGCATCCTTCACTGCTACGGCCATAAATAAAGTTTAGGGCATAAATTAAAAGGGCAAACCTGGACCATAACTTACCGCACGGACCTCGAATTCAGTTCACAGTAAGAGGTATTAAGAACATATAATGATATCATCATCAGTAGGTGGGGTCTGCCAAATGGATAGCCGACCTCAGCCGAGAATAACACTGTATTCTACAGATATTGCACCATACTGAAAAGGTGACTTGGATGATGCGAAAAGAATCTTGGTAACTATGCTTAGTTGGCAGAAATTCAACTAGCTCAACTGCACAGAAGTTAATCTTGTTATTATATGGCTGAGAAAATTACTTTAATGTGATTGACTGAGAGCAGGCAAATTTATCGTTAATTCTTAAATTGCAATGCAGTGCAAATTAACGCCCACGTGTTCGCAATTTTCTCAGTCACATAACAAATGAGTAATTGCATAAACGCTCGAGCAATTAAGGACTTCCACTACTCGTGATATTTGGAAATTCTTTCAAGTTGTACTCGTCTAAAGGCTCGTGCAATTTTGAGAGAATTTTCAAATATCACTCACAGCGTAAGTGCTGAATTGCACCAGTATTCATACCATTACCTATACTAACTTATCTAGAATAATTATGCTCGTCAGTTTGTAGGATTTTAACCCGAAGCATCCAGAAAGTTAACAGAGAGTCAGGATTTCTTAGCTGGACTGGAGCAAAAGACAGAATGGCAGCAATTTGCTGCCACCTTAATCAAGTGCTACACCCGTCGACGACGTTCTGCTATTGTTTTTGGATGTTTTTGTGCTCTATGCAAAAAAAAAAATAGTTCCTTGATGAGTTTTTTAAAAAGTCCAGTCCTGGAATTGGTGCCAGTACACTCCCTAACCTACTCTTGACAGTACATTACCATCTACAGTTAAGATGGTATCAATATACTCTAAGGAATTTCAAGCGTGACCACAACGACTCCTAGCATGCGAGGATTAAAGTCAACTACAATACCCTTACATTACTTTTGTTTAATAATGATAATAACAACATTTTCCAGGCACAGCCAATCAGTTGATAAGTTTGGATGAGCTGCTACAACATTTGATGGCATACCTGACAGTGGTTGATATGATTCAAGGATTCTATTGCTAGCTTCCTCAGAAAAAGGAGCAGATCACCATTATGGGCCTGCAGGACACAGAAGACAAAATCAGTGAAGTGAATATCATGGCATAATTTATGATGCCGACTAGAATTTGTTATATGTTAGAATGTTAAAATATTTGCATCATTGGTTTTGGCCATCCTATTCAACATGTAAAATGCTTGAGTGGTACGTCAACAATAACATTTTATAAAAGGATTCATTTTTGAGGTGTTTTGAGTCTGTTTAACAATGCTGATATCACCTTGATATCACCTCAAATGACATCAAAACGAGCGGAATGTTAAAAGAAAAAGAACGTCTGAAAATATCAAAGTGTTCTACTGTCAATGCTGTCAATGTAGTTCCTAAATTTTACAGTAAAAACATATATACAAGTAGGACACAATGCACAGTGTCACCTGCAAAAGGTCGTGAATGGAATAAAGATGTGCTTCCCTACAGATATGATCTGGCAACTTATTAAACTCTTCTGCTAATCTATAAAAAAGAAAACATTCTCTTTAAAGAACAGAAAACGTCACGAGTATAACGTTTATAATTTTGACAAGCAAGGTTCAGTCAGGGCAACTGAATAACTACTTACTCATTTGCTTTTCGACACGTCTGAATGAAGGATTTAAGGAAATGAAGTCTCCTTCGGATGTCCTGCAAAGATGATACACAGTAGATTCTGAAAAACTTGCAACTAACCACTAATCAATAGAAATTCAAAATATTACCTTTAATCCTTCCAAAACACGAAAGCGCTTATATAAAGAGGGATTAAGATCCATGAGGTTGAACAAAGGGTCAAAGTGTATCTTGTTTAATAAATCTCTTGCAAAGTTTGAAACCTCATATCTGAAGGAAAGTTAAGGAATAAACCTGACTAGAATATTAGAAAATAAATGATGTAAACTATGCTGTAGTCTAAAAGGTGAGCTGTTTGCTCGGTATTATTTTCATTGATTTGAAGAGTTACATACAATGTTTTGTAGACATACATAATTCATACACAAACAGACACGTGACGCCACACATACGCACATTTTCAACTTCCAATTAACAAATTGACGCCAGTTTTGATGTGTCTGTCCTCTAATTGATGATAAATTGCATCATAACATTGTCAAAGTGGCTGAGCAACCACGAGCCGCAGGCAAGTGGTTCTGCAGTAAACTTTGACAATGTTGACAAAATTTATCATCAATAAGAGGACAGACGCATAAAAATCTGACGTCAATTTGTTTTTTACAATAACAAGACCCCAAAATGGTCAAATGCCGGGAATAAATGAGGGGAAAAGACGCTGTAAACTTGCCGTAAA